ACATAGAACTATATAGAGCCACAAGACAATCGAAACAGGTGGCATGAAACAGCATCAATCATCTGGTTGCTGATGATTCTATAGTACCGTGCTGTGAACAAAAAAAGAATTGCCGGCGGTCGCCATCTTTTTGGGATCGTCTTGCTTGCAGAATGTGTTGAAATAGTGAGTTGCATCTTCCAAGGTGCTTCTCATGGAGGTTCCAATCCTACGTCCCCCGCTCGAAGGACACAACCATATAAACCCTCTACCTGCAGACCTCTGACCATCCGGTTGAGGCCACGACGCAGCCGCTGCATCTCCAATACCAGTGAGATCAGACACAAACGAAAACGGATCCTTTTGCCTCGGAGTCGACGGATCGAGTCGGCGGATTCAACGCCCAACCCACCTCTCCGAGTCTTTTTGACTCGACTGGCGCCGATGGGAGGATTGCACTTGCATGCATTCGAGATCATTGATAAAGTTATGGTCGTCATTTTATTTGGGCCGCACCCCGAGATTCAATGATATTTAAATATACTTGTGTTTTAAATGTTTATTTAGGCATAAAAAGGCCGAATCTTCTGCCCAGTCTTCGTCTCCAAGCGCAGGACTTTGGAGTCGTCTCCAAGACCGAGGGGATGTATGGCCTCACCGGCCACCGACGTTCGTCGGCCACCAAAAGGCATGTCCTTCGGACGGTGGAAGGGCTGAGGGGCCGACGCTTTGGCCGCAGTCGGTTGAGCCATGGGCCTAAGGCCCAGCTCAAGCAGCAAGCGAAAAGCAAACTCCCAAGGGGAGGACAAACGTTCATAACATCCAAGTATTACAAAATGCTGGATCAATGCCAGATCCTTCAATGATCCTTCATCCCTGAACCAGGTTTTGGTGGTGCATCTAGAAATGAAACATAAGCGGAGCCAATGTTAAACAGGAATGCTGAGATCCGGTCTGTCCCAAGCTGCTGGCGCCTGGCCATTTGGCACGGGCCGCATTCCGATGGTCACTGTGTTGGTTCACATGTGTTCACATGTGTTCAACCCTGAAATGTTCATCGGGTAAACTTCTGTAGAACTCCTCTTCACCAATTTCGGGGAACATGAGACGGTGTTTCTTTTTTCACTTGTAGCATCGTGCAACGCTCGGAAGGATGCGTTTCTGGCGAAACCTTCGCAGGTCGCTTGGAGAGGACCCGCCTCCATAGCCGCTGCTGGGCACCCCACTCGCGGCGGGTGACAGAAGAGTAGTACCTTGGCGTCGGACTCGGGTGCAAACATACCTGACATGTGGCAAGCTTCACTGCATTTGACTCATCCAACCGGTCCATGAGTCACGATTCACTCACATGTCGAATAGCAAAGGCGTTTGCGCGCCAATGCTTGCATGGACCGAAAGGTCAACTAACTCAGCAAAAGGTTGAAGAACGAAGGGGCGAGAAAAAAAGCAAAAACATCAAGCAACTTGCCTTGCTGGTGTGCCTTACTGTTATATTTAACATTTATGTGTTCCTTTAGGTTGAAGTTTTGGCTGAATCATAGGCCTTCCCAGGCCTGAAGCAAATGTCAGGGACATTTTGTGGTTTCCCCTTCTACCACACAAAATCACAAAACCACATTGTCTTTATTTCTTATCTGCTTCTTTTGGCATCTTCCACTCCGACGCATGTATAGTTATCTATCTATCTATCTATCTATCTGCACAGGTTGTCGGAGTGTCTCCAGCTCAGGGGCTTCCAGGCAGTGTGGCAGCGCTGGGATTGAACGGTATGGCGCCACTGCCCAGGCCGCCGCCCAGGCCGCCGCCCAGGCCGCCGCCAAGGCCCGCGAGGGACGCGGCAGCGGGAGCTGGAGGAGCTGCTGGAGCTGGGGACAGCAGGTCCAAGTCCTACAAGGTGAAGAAACTGGGCTAGACAGCACCAGCTAGTTGACAGCCAGCTACTGTAGTTGATTCTTTGGTGAAACGGTGAAAGAACACCAACGTCCATTCTTTTAAACTTATGGGCCGTCCCTTTAAAGAGTCTAAGATTGCTCGGCACCAACGATCTTCAGCAAAACCTGCATGCCTTCGCAACATGGCGACTTTCAACGATCTTCCAGAATCCAACTCTTGCACACCATCACGCCATCCTGTGGCAGACTTGTTGATATTGGCTGCGCCGCTGGTGCACCCAGCAAATCCACATCGCTCAGCAATGCTGCCGGTGCCGCGGAAGCTGCGGGCGGTGCCGCAGAAGCCGCGGCCGGTGCCGCGGAAGCCGTGGCCGGTGGTTCCGACATATCCAGCAAGTCTGGGGCAGGTGCTGCTGCCTCAGGGCAGGTTTCGATGGCACCTTGACCGACTTCAACTTTGGTCGACTTAGTGATGGGTTCTGCGGTTCGTTCAATCCTTCCTCTCCTTTTCGTGTTTGGTTTCTTCTTGTCAATGCCAGTTGGAACACCTATGCTGACACCCGGAAGAACTCCATCGAATTAGACTCGGAAAATATTCGTATACCCTGTGTCCCTACCAAACTCTCCGTGATCCTCGCACGCGCGATTTGCTTCTTTGTTTTACCTTTGAGATCTCGTGCGGGCCTCAGAGTGTTCTGCAGAAAAAAAGATGGGGGCCCATCATTGCACCGAACTGGGGGTAAACTTCCATCTACTCAGAAACCGCTGTAAAATGAAGGAGTTCCTGCAACTGAGATCCCGTGCCTTTGCAGGTTTGGCAATCGGCTTCTCCTGAGCTTTTCTCAGCACGTCACAACTGTCTCACAGGAACTCACCCCAACTAGTTCCATGAAATGTTGCGGAATGTGCCCAAAAAAAGGCTTCCAGGCCTTCTTTGCAGCCTCCTCCTCGTCAGCTTTCGCACCACTCTCCTGCTTTCGTGGAGACTTCCGGCTCTGTTTTCAGCCCGTTTTGGCCCGCCAGCTCTCGTCCAATTGCACCGTCTGCGGGGCGTGCGGGGTTCGGCATTCCCCCAATTGACTTTCGTTCATTGCATGAGTCACTAGACGACTTCCCCCCCCCCAAAAAAAAATGGCGCTTCCTGTAGGCTCCTGTAGGCTCCTGTAGGTTTGCGCCACAACGGGGTCGACGACGCCACGAAACCCGGAGTCCTCGGTGTTCTCCTTGACTCTTCCGCTGAAGAGCTTGATGACCTCAGGTCGCTGAAGAGTTGTGTCGGATATGTTTGTATCTCCCATTCTTTCTGGACCAGTGCAGAAAATGGTGCAACAAATAAAACAAATCGCCTCTAACACGAGATATAACTCAGTTCAAGGCTCAGTTGGAGGCTTCAACATCTTTCTCACGCTGGAAAACTCACAAGCTCACACTTGGCCTTTTTTATGCTTTCTCCGTTAGACTCCGTCCGAATCCCCTCACTGGCCGCGCCGCGCCGGCTGCGAGGCCCCCGTCCGCCCCCACCTCCGTGGCTTTGTCGGCACATTGCTGCACCTGCGGGCCGTTCTGCACCGTCGGGTTCAGCTGCGTGGGTCGGGTTCGGCTGCGTGGTTCGGCAAGAAGTGTTCAGCCGTTGGGCGGTCCACCACCCGCATGCGTCATAAGAGGTAGAAAAAGAGAACGAAGGTCGGTCAGAAGAATCGTCTGAAGAATGGCCCTGGCCCTGGCCCTGGCATACAACCCAATGGATGTCTTGCACTAAGGCCAGATCTAATGATCCACCAAATGTCCTGGAGATAGCCTTATATTAGATACCCTTAGATCATTGGAATGCATCCAATGGGGAGTTGACCGAACGAACAGGCCGCAGAACAAGCCGGGCCCCCGTTGGAGTCGGTGGCCTCGGTCAGGTGGAGGATGATGCCTTTGGCTTGTCCCATGACATTCATGGCCACCTCCTGTCGGTGCGGCAACGGAGCAACTGGTGACACATCTTTAAGCAGGTGAGCTTCTTCTTAACGCGTCCTGATGCGAGATTCTGGAATTTCGCCGGGCAGTTTGTGGGAAGTTTGCCACTTGCTGGTGACACATGCAAGAGTGATTTCATGAAACTTGATAGCTCAAAGTGTAATGTGAACCGTGAGGCCGAGGAGATGATGCCGCACTTCTCCAAACAGCATTGACTGAAAGACTGGAAGTTGCAAAATGCTCAACAATTGGCGAAGCAACAACTTGCCTGCATTCCTACCAGACCCCGGTTTCCGCTCGCTCCTTGCCGGCCCCCTCTTTCTTGTAGAGATGCTCCATGGCATACAACACCTGAGGTTCCATCACTCCCCAGCCAGAACACACCAAAAACGCAAAACTCACCCAACCATAGAACCCCTGAGCGTCTCACACGAAGGCGTGGTTGCCATGATGTGTCGCCTCGGAGGCGACCAAAGATCCACATCACCGTCACCAGATTGATGTGAAATGATGGGAGGGTCGGATTTTGGGGGGGCCTTTTTGTGGGATTCCGACACTTGAAAGTGATCCAGACACTCCATTCCCAACATTTGGATTCCGACACCATGTTGTGATCCATGAGTCCGTTCCCAACGTTTGAAAGTCATTGAGAGCAATCCTTTTTTTGGCGTTGAAAGTGTTAGAACTGTTGGACACCACTGACTTCATATTGACTTCATTCCTGCCACGCAGCCGCTACACATCCTGCTGGTTGAGATGGTGAGCTAAACCAAGCCGCTTCAGTTCATTCAGGAGGGACGTAGGGGGAAGGCCAAGAAGATCAAAGGGCGTGGTTTTGGGGCTCCTGACTCCCCCGGAGGTATCTGGTTTAAACAGTGTTGGGCCCGTCCTCCTCTGCGGTGGAACCCTAGGCATGATGGGATCTGCCATGGCAACGCCAAGTGGCCATTGGTGAAGCTGAGTTCATCGTAAAAGGCACCTGACATTAAACTAGGGGAACAAGCAAAAGCAGGAGACAAGCCTGGTTGGTGTAGATATGTCGAAGCTGGCGAAAAGCTTTGGAGTTGGAGATTGCAACAAATCTGATTGCTAGAAACAGCACACCACGGTCACCATCCTCCAGCTTCTTCCGGCTTCTTTCATCCGAAAAAAACGGCTACTGGTCTACTGGTTGCTAGCAGCAAGGCAGTTTCGTGCATCCGAGCCGCTGGTCAAGGCGATGGGCTTCAGTTCCTTGATCTTGGCCCAAAGCTTGTCTAGCTCCTGTGAGTTGGGCCTCACCTCGAAGCCAGCGCGTGGGGCGCGCAACCGGTCGAGGTCGCCCCCGAAGCGATCCGAAACCCCGAGGATCCCGTGGAGGGAGAAAAGGACAGGAAAACATATTCACTTTATATGGATGCATATGAACCCGAAGTCCCAGGTGGTTCAAGATCAGTGACGGCTGGTCATCAGCATTGATGCCTGGCTGATAAACCCTGCTGTGTGGCCCCCTTCGCCTGCTGAGCTCCGCCAAATCGGTGCCCCAAAAGACTGGGGAAGCGGATCGGATCAACAGAGTCGGGAGACATTCAACAGTTGTGGAACCATGCGATGTGTATGGCTTGGGTCTATCCTAGCAAACCTATCTGGGCCCAGTGGATGATGATGGTTGCAGGCCGAAATCTCAAAAATAGTGACATAGTGATTTGCTTGTTTACTGGTCCTGTTACAGGTAAGTTCGCACAGACCCAAGGTATGGCCTTCCTTGCATATGCTCACAGAAGTGACTCTGCACGCTGCAGAAGTGACTCTGGCGGCCGGGTATTTCTGGCAGAAGTCAGAGATGGCACTGGACGCTTCTTGCCTGCACCACAGGTTTGCGAGAGTCCAAAGTCTCCTCTTACTTGTTCTTTTGGGGAACGGTGCAATTCGGCGACGAATCCTGGGGACCAAAGTAAGGGTACGGTGACCAGCCCGTAACGCATCGCCAGCTCAAAAACATGGTTCTGGAGCACCTGTTTCGGGGTCCATTTGCAGCGGGTGATGCGCACAACCTTCTCGACACCAGCCAGACTCTGGATCATACAGGGTTGAAATGGGTTGAAAGATGTTGAAAAACATGAATGATGGGGCACTGCTAGACCTCCAGCAAGTATGGATGCACGCACATGTCTTCTTTCACACAATTTGTGCACTTTAAACTTTTAAACGCCAACCAGGTCGCTATACTGAGCTACGCCCATCATTCAAGCGGCTTGGTCCATCATTCGCCGTGTCATGCCAGCACCTGGACCGTGGAGACACATTTGCGATGCTCTTCTTCATGGCAGCTGCCTGTCAGCCACCCAAAAATGCAAAGCTCTCAACATTCTCACAGACTCTCACCCTTCCTTTGTCATCCTTTTTCGATCTTTTGCGTTTTACGGTGCACAGCTTGGATCCACTAGCTTCTCCATCTGAGGTCTTGTTGGTACAGCGTGGCCAATGAACTGAATCTCTCAGTCTCTCACGAAAATAGGTCTTGTCGGTTAGAAAATAGGTCTTCCACTCTGTAGCCGCTATCCAAAACTACTCTACAGTACTCAATGCAAATGATAGCGCGGGGAATGGTAGACAACTCTAACCAGTCTACATTGCCCCCACACTCTATCTTAATTGAGCTGCAGAGATGGGGAGACAGACTCTTGATGGATTCACTCAGTCTCTTTTTTTGGATAGGTGCAGGAATTTGCAGGAACTTCTGGACCTTCTTTGGGATGGTAATCAGTAATCCGGTCTTGACACCAGTGAGCCCGCATCACACCGCTTACCTACCCAAGTAGGTTTCAATTCTGCATTTCGTTTGTAGCCTTTCTGCTGAACTGCACACTACCCTACACCTGGATAGTCTTTCTAGTCCACATTGCCCTTGTTTTTTCTAGGCCGGTGTCTTCATTTCAGTTGTTTTCCTCAACTGTTCTTTACCAAGGGGGCACATCGCAATACAAACAGCAGATCCAAGGATGGAGCCAAGTAAGGTAGAGTAAAGGGATTTGAAATGCCCATGTCGTTTGACAACCTTTGCGTACTGCTACTCGCCATGAACTCAGAACTCAGCTTAACACTCCGTTCTATACCACCGTAGAGTTCTGCTTCATGCTGTTTGATTTTCTTATTCGTTCATTCAGTGAACCGAATGACAGTGATAGGGAGGTAAGGTAGACAAGGGACTCTCTCTCTCTCTCTATCGACTGAGCTTGGTCGAGTGTATCACCCAGCACGACCGTATCTCGGAGATGTTTCAATCACACGGCTCGAGAAGAGCATCTATTGTCATCTAGTATCATCCTATTATCATCTATTACTATTATCATCTATTACATCGCTCATTTCATAAGAGGTTCGCTGTCCATCTGCGAACCGATGACAACCCACAAGTGTCATGGATAGGCGAAGAATCAACTCGGTCAGAACTTCCACTTCAATCACCACATCCGCCCCTCCCACCTTTTGCCGCTCTGCCTCTGCCTCATCGCCACTCTCATCCTCTGAAGGGACCGACCGTGAGGGACAACCTTCTCTTCTGGACCGGAAGACGGTTCCGTCCGAGAGACGATGAGACTACAAACGACGAGACGACGAGTGTCGAGGATGTTCCCTGCAGAACTCGAGTCTCGGGGCACCTGTTTTTTCAGTGCGAAAACAGAATGAAGCAGTTCAGACCGAACGAAGCAGCAGGACTGGACTGGAAGTGTCTAACCATCTGTGGATCGACATCAATCGAGAGTTTCGAATCCAACGACCGGGCGGAAAAAGGAAGTGGACTCAGTGGACTCATCAGGGCAAGACCACCATTTCACTGAAGCTTCGCAGCATTTCGCAGAAGCATCTTGGCAGTTTCCCTTCCAACCGCCAAACCAACCTGCAATCATCTGAACTCGACCCCGCCCCGCTCCTCTAGGCCAACCGCGGAAGCAACGAAAGACTTGAAGTCCGAAGCCATCTCGGAGATGTCCTGCGAAACCAAGACACTATCTGAAGATTCTCGGCTTTTTAGACTTAGATGTCATCTCTACTGCGGCTCAGTATGCTTAGAGGGTACTCTTCCACTTACCCCCTCCCTTGGCACTTGACCCGCCTCCTTTCTTCGGGGTCGCCTGACTTCTGGCACGAACTTGTTTGAACAATTTTGGTTGGTTGATTTCCAAGGTTTCTCTGCGCATGTTCCTCGCAGCTCTTGATTCGATTGTTTCTCACACAAAATGCACCTCCAAATGCGACCACGAAACAAAACAAACTGCTGACCGTCTGAGTCTGTTTGTTGACATGTGTCTCCTTTTTATGAGGCAGAGAGCCTTGAACGGTTCCATTTCCCATCTCTATGTGACCTGACAGATGTTTTTCAGTTGGCCTTTGTCCTTCAGTCACGGATCACATCCGCTCCTGTGTGGCTGCATCGATGACATCGCCCAGGCTTAATGCCACATTGTCCAAAGCGCTACTCACAGCTGGACCAGACCTGAGTCGCAGTATGCGTCACTAGTCACCCTCCAATATACAGCAGGTAGGTAGGAGGTAGGAGTGAAAACCATCCAAAGAAATCGGAACGTCCTGAAGTTCATTTCTAGCTCTTTGTGGTCACGGATTTGGCCATAAGTGCTAGCTTGGTCTCTCCTGCGGGTTGGTGCACCAAAGACCCTGAGTCTGAGGGGACAGCCTCCTTTGCCAGTCAATGGATCATCTTTGCCAGCAATGACACTCCCAAAAACAAACATACGAGTGCAACAGATCTGGGCCCATTTCCTCTCCCCATGACTACTTTAAGGGAGCGCGCGTTACTTTCAACAACTGGAAGTGGTGGCAACCATACCAAATCAAAGCTCATCTGCTGGTGGCACAGCGGTTAATCACCACATGCAGGGCTGCTTCAAATCTACAATCTACAGGTACGGTATGACATGTCGCATCTCCTTCAGGCATAGTCATAGTCATAGTCATCAGCAACACATGCTGGGTTCGTGCCAGCTGGAGGTCAACAGCCCATGTCCCCGTCCCCAACCTCCAACACCTGCGACAGAAGACCCGAGCCCTTGGGTTTCCTCGCCCCATGTCCGTCAATGAAGCCATGGCCCCCCCAGAAGGAGGGCGTCTCCTCGCTGCCCTGGCTGCAGGGAACCGCGGCAGGAGTCAGTCGCCCAACGAAACAGTGCTTCATGATGGTGTCTGTGTGTTATCGGAGACGGGCGCGCAGCTTGGGGGGCCGATGTGCAGAGTGGGGACCGGTGGAGAAGCGTGGAGAACCCAGACGGCTGAACAGGGTCGCGTCTTTGGTACTGTACAGCATGTAGTGATTGAAGGCGAAAACAGTGCTGCTTTGCCCTTCTCCCCAGTGGCCCTGCGGGCAAACGCGTGGCCCTTATCCAACTGCCACCTGCCGAGTGTTCCGGGACACCAGTCCTGACCGTCCTCTGTTTCTTTTTTTGGTGGAATTTTTGGGAACTGGACTACACCAAAACCTCCAGTCTTTTGGAACAAAGGAACTCCAGTCACTCCAGTCAAACTGGGAACTGGAACAAAGGGACCGTCCTTTAAAGCCAAAGGACCGTCTTGGCAGGGAGTGAGATGAACCCCCACTACAGATTCGTCTTCCCTACCAAGCACCATACTCATCCTTTCATGCGTCCACGCGTTCACCCGCATTCAACGCGTTCACGCACGGCCTCCGGTGGAGGACAGCAATACCTCGGGGGCGTGGACGGTGCAGGATCGCCATGGAGAAATCACCGGCCCCTCAAATTGCATGGTGGGAAGTCTGAGGCCCCTTAGAGTCCCAAGCCTGAATGACCACGCGACGGAATGACCCAACATGTGATCTATTGATATCTACTACTGCGCTGTCTGGAGTAGAAGGCCGGTGATTTTGTGCCCTGGTCCACTGAGCCCTTGTCTTGCAAAGGTAGTAGTTGCACTCCCGACAGTCCATCACCTGACGGGAGATCGGCCATTTCCGTCGACACGGCAGCCGCTTCAGGGCTTCACGACGCGGTTCACGACGCTTTTCGGAAAGCAAGATCGTCATCGAGCGTGCACCTGATCGCATCTACCGAAACCACAGGTGGCTAGATGTGGCTGGAACTCAAATCCACGGTTCTCTCCCTCAAATGCCAGCTGAGGTTGAGACAGCCTCACCAGATTTGATCTTGGCTCCACAGCCATCACACCAACCAGGCCTGTTTTCACGGGAGCAGCGGGGAGCTCAGCCATCGGTGCACCATCTTGGTTGCAAACAAGCGGAAGGTAACAACTTGCTTAAAAAAAATGCCAAAACCATTGAAAGAAAGGTCAACCTGTTTAGGCTGTCTAAAATCCTTATGGTAAAACAATAATTGTTTGGTAAGAACCATTAGGTCAATGGTTGTTGGAATTCCGAACCTTGCGTTACACAATACACATTACGTTGCATCCGTGCTACACATTACAATACATGGCCGAATTCCTGCCTCATTCACGAGACAAGTTGCCACACTCTCATTCCGGATCCATCCGGAGAGTTGGGTGTGGCAATGGAACATCTCTAATGTTTGTTGGGCAGGACGTCTACCTCATCCAAATGGGGGGGTTACTAATCAAGGTTGATTCAACATGATGATGGGTGTCATCAAACTGCCACATGGGATGAAGCTCAAGGGTCAATTGCGGTCAATTCTTGCCATTCCTGTTCCACTGAAGGAAACCCCAAAAAAAGACACCACACGAACTCGGCCCAGCCTCTGGTGCATTGCCTACGTGCAGGATCCCAGCTGAGGGCCCCAGCTTCGCAGCCCAGGGCTGTAGCTCATGACCCTGGGGACATCTCTTGATGTAGACCTCGGAAGACCGAGAATGTGAGGACGGGAATGGGGAAGCTAAGGGGCTACCAGGCAACAGTCTCCCAAAACACTGTCCTCTTGACACTTCTAACTTCTAACGTCGAAGTGTCTACGGACTGCCAACCTACGTAGGCTTTTCTAGGAAGCTCATGGAACCTCCACCTTTTTCACTGTTTGACTTGTCTGCACTGTTCTGAAATCTCAACTTTTACATACACACCTTCCCCCTTCACGCGGTCTCACGAAGCGCACGCGACGGCGTCGGCGTGGTTTCCACCGCCACGCCCCAGTTCGGCGTGGTGCTGCACGTTGCACCGTCGTCAGCGAATTCATTGGGTGTATCCCATTTTCTGTAACAGTGGGTGATGATGGTTCAGTTGCAGGCCCTTCTCAAGAATAGTAATAATCTTGATTGATACAGGTCATGGGATACACACCAGTCATTCATAGTGAGCCGATGGAAGCGCCTCGCATTTCGCCCACGCGTCATTCCGTTGATCAGCGACATTCACTGGACCTCGCATGTTAGCCATGTTCGCCATCTTGGCCATCTTGGCCATCTTAGCGACTCCCTGACCTCTTTGACCTCGTTGACTTACTGACTTGACACCTAGACTTGCTCCGCGTCCTCGTGCAACCTGCGCCCCTTACCATTGGGATGCAGGGGCGGCTGCCGGAGAACGGTTCACGGGGACGGAGCCTTTCCACCGCCCCTGCACGCGCAGGAAGGTGTTCCTCGCACCACAAGCTCTTAGCTTAGCTCTTCCTCGAAGGTGTTTGATCCGTCTTGTGATCGTTCTCATGATATGTTGGGGTACTGTATATAACGCACGAACGAGGAGAAGTGGAGCTGAACATGCGATGCACGCATGTCAAACCATGAAAGCGCGAATGACATGAAACATCGTTTTTGAAGCTGTGTCGACTTGGGTCACACCCAAATGTCCAAGACATTGGTTGGCTTCGAACCTCAGACTTGCCCAAGATGGTGGAATCACTTCCAACATGTTCACCCATCACGACCCAGTCCGCAACGTCTGAGTCCGCGCACCTTTGGTGGAGGTCCTGAACTGCCTCAGCGAGGAGCGGCGGCGAAGCGCCATCCATGCACCCATTAGAGGGCCATCCAGGTGTAGAAAAAAACAAGAAAAAACTTCATCCCGGAAATGGACAGCTCTCCTCCTGCCGACTAAACAAAGATCTTTGGGCGTTCTCACTCGTTTAACTTTTCAAGTTTAACCCCTTGGCTTGACCGTTCTCCTCGACAGTTTGGGGTCATCGTTTGCCATTCAAGTTGTTGAACACATCGGGTGCCCCGTGTTCCTCTCGCGACCAGCTGTGGGCATGTTCTTCCAAGGTCTTTCACAAGATCCATCCTCAGAGTTCCGTCCAACATCAAGAGTAGAGGAACCAGACGATTCTTTTACATTCCGATCCATACCAACAGCCAACACTCACAGCTTTTGGCCGCATTGTTTCGGAAAAAAACTGTTTTGGGGTTCCGTGTTCTTCCCGATTGCTCCCCCTTGTCCTGGACGCCCACCTTGCAGGATCCGACGAGCAGTCACATCCCTTCATAGCAGTCCACCCGCCAGCGCCGCGCGCCCGGGCGAAAGCCAGCCATCACGCCTCCTCCCCGTGTCGCATGGACCGTTGAGCCTTTCCCGCTGCCGACCGTCCGGCAGGGGTTCACCGATGTGAGCAGCGCGCACGCCCAGTCAGTCTCGCCAGCCCAGCCCAGCGGTTCGTTCGAGCGGCTGAACCAAGACTCTTCTTGGGGCGGGCCGCCTCCGAATCCCTGAGAGCGGAGGGGCGGTGTTTCACGTGTTGAGCGTTTCAGACACGAATGGAAGATCGCTGAGTCACTTTGGAGTGGCCAAGATCAAGCCGCACCACATATGCAAGCACACGATTTGCAGATACGGGAGGCAAATGAGTTAAAACATATTATACAAAACCATTGAGTTGAGAGAAACAAATTGAGAAAAAAGAAAAAGAACAAAACGCGGCCGGTGTCCTGTGCAAGTCTGATAATTCCCGACATCAGTCAAGCCCCGCCTGGATCCGTGACTTGTCGAGCGGCATGGCGCACACCAGTGCTTCACCAGCAAATGAACGAATTCTCAGTATCAAC